TATTCAAATGCATTATTTTTTTGTTTTCTAATATTCTTATCTAACAGTATTATAATTAAAAAAAAAAACCTCACCACTATTTTGCACTGCAAACACACTATCATTCATCTAGGTTATTATAAAATAAAACTGTATGGGCTTCAATGGAATCCTGTTCTCGCCTTCATTTATCATACTCCCATGTATAATTTTGCTTCTGTGAGGAAGTAAGTTCTGAATTTCAACGTAGCTAGCTCACATCTGGTACTCCCAGTGCAAATGAAGTAGGGTGTGGATCAGCAGACTATAGTTTGTAATGTGTCACTTCATAGGAATGGAAATGTTTGGGGAATATTCATCCTCCAATTATTTTTTTGGCAACCTATGGTGTTAGGCGTTATGGAGTAAACTAAAAACCCAAGATTAGTTGCTCCTACTGCAGAATTATATTGAACACACACACACACACACAGAGAGAGAGAGAGAGAGAGAGAGAGAGAGAGGGAGAGAGAGATTGGAGGACTCTTCTGGTAGGAAAAGGAGCCTCTAATTCTAGATTTAGTAGTAGTGGGGACAGGAAAGGCAAGCAGCTTGACCTTTTTGGCATTTTGGCTCCTGGCAACTGAAAGAGCAGGGAGCTCCCATCCTGCAGAAAATCTGTTGGACAGGCTGGGCCAGCTCCAGGTGTTGCTCCCTTCTCAGAGCTGGGCCACACTCAGCCTGTCGTCCAGAGTACTGCTCAGAGCCCTTCTGCCCTAGCCAGAGAGAACCAGCAGGGCAGTCTGTCACTGACGGCTGGTACCACACTGAGGGAGAGGAGCATGTGGGCCTGAGGAGGCAGAACGAGACAGTGGTATGCATGGCTGTTGTAACACGGTAAATGTTCTTTAAACCTTCATCTGGCTAGAGAGCTAATAGAGAGAAGCCTAGTCATACGGAAGGAAAAACTAAAGAACCTGTCTCCAATGCCTTCAGACTTGGGAGAGCACAGAACATACTGAGAGACAGACAGACTTGGGTTCAAATCCAGGTCTACCACTTTTGAGCTGTGACTTTGAGCAAGTTACTTGAAGACTTAACACTCAGTTTGCTTACCTGTGGAATTAGAAAAATATTAGTAGTAGCAATATGAGAGCATTACACTAGAATCAGGCCCACTTGAAAGTTCGTTACAAACTTAAGTTGGCAGTATCTTACACTGGCTCAGCTTCAGGCTGTCGGTGGGGTTTGCCTTCAGAGCCCAAGCTCTCTCCCCTGCTTTGCACTACCTTCCACACCCTAGGTAAAGGTCTCCTAAGGCTGCTAGGAGAACAATGGAGATCATCTGGAGATGCCCAAGGAAGAGAACTCCCCCCTCCTCCTGCCCCAACAAGCTATGGGCCACTGTCCCTCTCCCCCAGGGCATCTGCTTCCAGGCTTGTCATGGAAGCCCTAGCTTGGTTTTATTAAGCAAAGGGGCAGTTTTCCTTCCCTTCCTTCCTTTCCTCCCTCTCTCACCCCTTCCCTCCTCCCATCCCAACCATTTCTAATGTATATGGTTCATTTGGCATTAAGCACATTCAGGCTGTGTGCGACCCTCACTTCTCAATCTCCAGAACTATCTTCACCTCGCAAAACTGAAACACCGTACCCATTACACAGTAAGGCCCCATTCCCCCTCCTCTAGGCCCTGACAGCAGTAACTCTACCTTCTGCCTCCATGAAGCTGATGCTCCAGAGAGCTCGTGTAAGTAGAATAACTAACTTTCTGACTTTTTGTGATTGGCTCTGCCCTCAAGGTTTGTCTAGGTTGTAGCATGTGCCAGATTCTCCTTCTGTTTTAAGGCTGCTTATCCATTTACCTGTGGATGGACAGATGGGTTGCATCTACAATTGGCTATCATGAATAGTGCTGTTAGGAACATGATTGTACAGATATATTTGTATATGTGTTTTCAGTTATTTTGGATATATGAGGAAGTCTTCAAAAAGCTCATGGAAAAAATATATTATTAAAAAAAACTAGGGAACCAGCAGTTAGCGTAATGGCTATGTTGCTGGACTCCCACGTAGTCGACCGCGGTTCGTGTCCTGGACCCGGTAGCTGAAAACTCACGCCGGGTGCGTGTGCGTGCGTGCCCAAGATCCCGAGAGGAGAATGGAGGAGAAGGGATTGCGGCGTGACCATCCCCTCTGGGGGGTGATTTCTCCCTTTCTGTCTCTATGTCTCTCTCTGTCTGTCTGGTGAGCGCACGCGCCCTACAGTGAAAATCTCTCCAAAAAAAGAAAAAACAAACAAACTATGCATAGATTTCAAAAGTTTTTTGGCCCCCAAATAAACTCCTAATTTCATTTCATTTTTTCCACCAACTTTTTGAAGTCCTGTCATATACCCAGAAGTGGTATATGGTAAGTGGGATTTCTGGATTATATGGTAATTCTATTCATTATTTTTTGAGAAGTCTCACAGTTTTCTACAGTGGCGGCACCATTTTATATTCCTACGAGTAGTGTCCAAGGGTTCTAATTTCTCTACATCCCCACCAACACTTGTTATTTTCTGTGTTCATGCGAGTGCTTTTTAAATAATAGACATCTCAGCCTACAGGAAGTGGTATCTCATTATGGTTTTATTATGGTTTTGATGTTCATTTCCCTAATGATTAGTGGTGTTGAGCATCTTTTTATTTTATTTTTTAAAAGATTTTTGCCATAAGGTGCATACTCTCACTAGAGATAGATAGATAGAGAGAGAGAGAGAGAGAGAGGCAGAGAGAGAGAGAGAGAGGGAAAGTGAGAAGTCATCCCCCCCGGGGGATGGTCACACCTCAATCTCTTTTCCATTCTCCTAGGATTTGGGGCACACACACACATGCACTGGGCATGATTTTCAAGCCACCAGGTCTGGGACTTGAACTGTGGTTGGCCATGTGGGAGTCCAGTATCTTAACCACTACACCATCTGTTGGCCCTGTTGAGTTTTTTTAATATAATTATTAGCCATTTGTGTATCGTCTCTAGGAGAAAGGTCTATTCAAATCCTTTGCTCATTTTTTTTTTTTTTGAGAGGTTTTTGCTATAGGGTGCGTGCGCTCATCAGAAAGACAGAGAGAGACAGAGAGACAGAAAACGAGAAATCACCCTTCATGGGGGATGACCACACCACAATCCCTTCTCCTCTTGGGATCTTGGGCACACACGCACACGCGCCCAGCATGAGTTTAAGCCACTGGGTCCGGGACTCAAACCACGGTCGACTACATGGGAGTCCAGCGACACAGCCATTATGCTAACTGCTCATCCCTCCTTTGCTCATTTTAAAATCAAATTTTGCTGTTGTTGTTGAGTTATGGAAATTCTTTATTTGATCTGTATATATTTCAATTGACCTCTAAGTAGCTCCTAAGCTTGACAACCCAGAGGTCCTGAACCCATAAAGCAGTGGCTTTCAAACCTCACAAAACACCAGAATCACCAAGGAAATTAAAAATATACTAATGGCCAGGCTGTTGCAGTTCGGACTTAACTGGCCTGGCTGTGTGAGGTCCCAGTATTAAACAAACAAACAAAAACCAAGAACTCTCCAAGTAGTTCTAAGATGCACCCAAAGTTGAAAACTGTTGCTACCGTCTTTGGTCCTGGGGAGGTGCATCCTCCACTGTGTGCTGCTAAGAAAGGGAGAGGGGATTATGAAAAGGCAGGAAAAGGTCCCAGAGGATCCAACCATAGTGAGAAACCCTAAGACGTTGGGTAGCAGTAGAGGAATGGGACAGGCAGGTGTGAAGCCCGTCTCTTTCACCAGCACCATCACGAGTCATGCTGCAGATGGAAACAAGCAACCACTGCCCCAGGGGAAGCACGGAGGGATGAACAGAGGGGAGCCCTAGAGCTGCTCAGAAGCTTGATGGGCAGCATGTGGGTGCAGGACACCTGGCGAGATGCCAGGAGCTCTCGTGAGCTTCAGCTCTGCCACAAACGGCCCATGGCTTCAGATAGCTCGCCTTGCTATCCTTGCCTCAGAGTGCTCCTGGAAAAGGGGAAATTGAGCTAGTGCGGTGGTAGGCCCTCAACCCTGGCCATAACTTAGATTCACCTGTGGAGCATTTAACATGTATTGACCGCCGGGCCCACCCCTGACATGCCGATCCCAGTTGTTTCAGGCAGGGCATGTGCGTGAGTGCGTGTACTCTCCAGTGGGGTCTGGCTAAGGGCATAAGGGATGCTCTAGGGAGAAGAGAGACATAGGTTCTCACTGCTGGGATCTGTGAGTCTGTGTATTCAAGCCCACGGGGTGAAGGACAGTGAGAGCTCAAATGAGCTCCGTGTGACTGACCTATGCTTGGGGAGAGAAGAACCAGCCTGTAAAGGAAAAGAGCAAGTAAATAAATGGGTGGCAGGCACTGGGGGACCTTTACAAAGCCATGTTGCTTGGGAGTTAGCTGGAAAGTTCTATTACTCCTCTCTGCTTTCTCCTCAGCTCCTATTTTTAGCTCTATCTCCACTAACCGTCCTGTAGCAGAGAGGACCCCCTGCTTCTAGAGTTATCAGGCTGAATGTCTCTACCTCTGCCTCTAGGTCACACTTTGACTTGGATACTGCTTTCGGAGTCTCCACCCTGGGTTTGCTCCTGCCACATTGGCATGTAGTGGCCCACTAGGCGGGAGCAGGGAAGGGACGCACATTTAACCGAGCCATAGGCGAGAAAGGCTGGGTGAAGGTCAGGGTATCTCTAGTCTTAAAAAAAAGGAAGGATATCTCTAGTCTTCCCACGAAGTTAAGTCCCTCCTGATGAAAATAACTCGCACCTGGGAATCTTTTGCATGTGAGCTTTTCCCAGCAAATGATCGGCTGTCCTTGGTTTGTCTCTGCAGGAAGGTATATATATGCCCACACCTATGCTTGTGGGAGTTTGGAGCTGGGTAATCTATGACCAGTGATGTAATAATCACAACATAGCATGATGAGCAGTATGCGCGGACCCAGGCATGTGTGAGCTGTATCTACGGCCTAAGTTTGCCCTCACGATAATTCTACCCTGTGCTTCGGCCCTGATTCAAGGCCAGCAGTTTGCTGAAGATGTCGGTTTCAAGCAGGAGCCTAAAAAAGAGTATTCTTATGGTCTGTTGGTCATTTCAGGACTTTGGAAATGTAATGGCCTATTCGTGAGGAAGAAACATTTAAGTTACTTGGTGATAGTTGGGGCTAATACTTTATAATTATAGTACTAGGATGCCAAAATAGCCATAAAATATTTATATTTCTCACTAAAAAAAAATTCCTCCCTGTGCGTGCTCCACTTCCTCCTTGGTTAGACTTCAGAGCCATATTCCTGAGTTTCCCAGAATTCTCTCTTCCCTGGTACCAAGAGTTTTTGGCAGTCAGCTACTTGCTTCAAAGGACTGAGCAGCAGTACCCATGTTCCAACACAGTTTTTTGACAAAACACCCCTTTAGTCCTCAAAGAAATGGAGGGAAGCAAGGGATGCCTAAGCCGGGGTTGGGAACTCACATGGGGGGGTGGTGGGAAAGAATCAGGGGACAGTTTTAATAATCATTGTTTCTCCGGTTGAAAAAAACCAGGGGAAGAGCAGGGTCCCCTACATAATGCAGCCTGCTACCACCATCTAGTGGACAAGAGGAGGAAGTGACGCTCTGGAAACATGGAATTTCAGAAACCGGCCATTTCAAACATTTAGTAACTATCAGGTGGCCTGCAGCAGTTTCCACGGCGACTTTTGTCCCTGCCTCTCAACAGAATCATGTCCTTTTCTTTTTCCTTCCCATCAATGTCCAGCACAGGTTTGTACCCAAGGCCTCCCTGACACTGATGACCGACTAGTTATAAAAATAAGTTTGGAACCAAGACTTGGCTCTGCATCCCTCAGGTTCCTCAGTGTAAAACGCACGCCTTCAAGGCCCCTCCCACTCTGACTTAGAACTCAGCGGCTCTGCAATCGGAGTGCTTGTTCAGACAGACTGTTGTCCCCACACCCGCCCTGCGCTGTGCCTCTGACCCAGGAGGCCTGCAGTGGAGTCTGAGCTCTTGCCTTTCTAATGCGTTCTCAGAGCTGATGCTGCTAAGCCGGAGCCCACCTCGGACTCCTTGGAGAATCCCTGTTTTGAGTGGTTCAGTTTCCCCGATGTGAGAAAAAAGGGGTGAACAAGCCTGTGGAGGAAACACCAAGCTTACATAAAAGAAAAGCCAAGGCCAGAATGGTCTTCCACCAAAGGTATATAACAAGTCCCAGGCCTTGAACCTAGGCAGGGAGAGGGGGAGCGTCAAATCGGGCCCAGCTGGCTCGTTCTGGGTTTGCTCTGGGCATGTTGGCGGTCAGTGGGGACTGAGTCATGGGGAAAGGAAGAGTCAGGGCCTTATTTGCCCACAGGTAGAAGACTTCCCTGAACATTGTGTGGTATGGAGAGAAAGCTGCAAGAGACCTTAGAGGTCACCTCATTTGTTTTTTTTTTTTTTTTTTGAGAGGTTTTTGCTATAGGGCGCGTGTGCTCGCCAGAAAGACAGAGAGACAGAGAGCGAGAAATCATCCCCAGAGAAGATGGCCATGCTGCAATCCCTTCTCCTCCATTCTCCTCTTGGGATCTTAGCCACACACACACACGTGCCCGACGTGAGTTTAAGCCACCAGATCCAGAACTCGAACCATGGTCGACTACATGGGAGTCCAGCGACATAGCCATTACACCATCTGCTTGATCTTCATTTTTAAGGTGAAACTGACTCAGAAAGGTTCAACTACTGCCCAAAGTCACACGGTTACTTGGCCCCTCTTTTTTTTTTTCTTTTTTTGGAGAGGTTTTTGCTTTAGGGTGTGTGCGCTCACCAGAAAGACAGAGAGAGACAGAGAGATAGAAAACGACAGATCACCCCTAAGGGGGGATGGCCACACCACAATCCCTTCTCCTCCATTCTCCTCTCGGGATCTTGGGCACGCACACACACACACCCGGTGTAAGTTTAAGCCACTGGGTCCAGTACCTCGAATCGTGGTCGACTACATCGGAGTCCAGCAACATAGCCATTACGCTAACTACTGGTCCCCTTCCCTCTTTTTCTTCCTACTCCCAACACAATCTCTTCCCAATAAGGTCCCAGACAATCCCAGAAGGTCAAAATGGATTCCTAACCCAGGTCAATTCCATGACGTTCTTGTTAGTGTCAGACCAGCGTTCCTTGTGGCCTCCTGGGCCCGTGTCTCCCTCCCCTCTGTTCTCCCTACCTTTCACCAAGGGGAAGAAGCACTCCATCTCCACGCTGCTTCGGGAGTGGGAGATGCACAGGGTGCTGCTGGGGACCAGGCCCTCCTGCGGGGGGCTCCGCTCTGTGGTGCGGACCAGACACCAGCCGGGCCGCTCGCTGGGCCTCTCCAGCAGCTCCACCGTCTGCCCCACCTGGACGGTCAGCTCACTGCTGTGGCCGGCGCTGAAGTCCTGAAGGACCACGGTCAACTCACATCCACCTGAGAGCTGTAGTGGTGGTTGGGGGAGAGATGGGAGGGTGTGGAGGAAGGAGGCAGAAATGTGGGAGATGGTGGGACGAAGGATGCGTGAGTGCAGAGAAGGGAAGAGAGGAAAAGGGAAAGGATGGGGTTCCGAGTGAAGAGAAGGCAGAAGATGGAGAAGAGAGTGGAGGCCAGGAAGGAAAACAAGAAAAAAAGGTCATTAGCACAGTGCCATTCAGTCACTCCAAAGTTCGAGCTGCAGCCACAGGCTGGAGCCTGCCCAGACCAGAGCTTTGATTCCTGCTTCCGCACAGTTGTTTTTATTATTCCTCTGCCAAGCTTCCAGCTAATTGTGCCTTTACACTTCGAAGTCCGTTTACTCCCTGCCAGGCTCTCCGTGTGTCCCACCCCTGCCTCCCTCTCCATACCCCAGAACCTCACTGTTCTGACTCACTCCCGTGTGAGTCTAGTTGCCATTTGGGACTAATGGCAGAGAAGTCCTCTCGAACCCCTGCAACAGCCCCATCCCTGCCCCTCATTGGAACCATAAGCCTAAAACAGAGACTGCAAGTACCCGAAGGTTCAACTCAAAGGGAGAAGCAAACATACTGCCTGTCTGGGAGGGAAATCGAATTGCTTCACAGTGGCTCCCATCTGGTCCCCTACTGGAGCCCAGAGGAAAGAATGGGAAGGGAAAAGAGGAGCCACATCTTAGGATCAGTGCTCCTCGAACCTCCCCTCCAACCCTGCACCTCCCTACTGCACAGGTTCTCAGCAGAATCAATAAAATGGGGCTGAGAGACCCTGAGACAGGAGCAACTCCTACTTAGCAAACACTGAGGCTTTTCACTTTTCCACCTTGGGGTCCGGCCCTAGTTACCCCCTTCCCTCTGGCCTCATGTCTCCACGAGAACCCATCAGTTGGTTTGTCTCATAGAACTGCACTCAGTCTTCCCCTTGGAACAGCAGGTGCGCTTAGGGGCAGGGTGAGAGTAAGGAAAGATTGAAGAGACCAGGAGCCCCCCCCCGCCCCACACTAACTGCACTCAGTCTTCCCCTTGGAACAGCAGGTGCGCTTAGGGGCAGGGTGAGAGTAAGGAAAGATTGAAGAGACCAGGAGCCCCCCTGCCCCACACCGGCCTGTTGCCCTCTGAGGTTCACCTGGAACAGTGGTCCAGAGCAAAAAGCCCTACACCACCTCCAGGGACTCAGCTTCAGCCTGTGCATCGCTGATAGAGCCTTCGGGGCTGGAGCTGTCCGTGTCAGCAGACGTGCTACTGTGCTCGTCCGAAAGTGCTGTGTAGCTACTTCACACGCGTTCTGGGGAGCCGCTGTAAACGGCAAGCCCAGTGGACAACCAAACAACCAGAGAACCAACAGCTGCACCAGGACCTAAACGTCAGGACAGTGAGAATGTTCTACTAAAGAAGCTTGAATGTCAAAGTGGGCTTGAAAAGGTTAAGACGATGCGCCAGATGGCCGCTGGCACCACCACCAGTGGTGGAGCAGGGAACCCGTGGGAAACATCCTGGGGAGGCACGGTATGGCCACGGGATTAGGCCACGGAGAGAAAGCTGTAGGACAGGAGGCAGGAAATGGCAAGAGAAAAGAAAACATCCTACTCACTGGCTCCTTTTTGCCCTTTAACTTTCCCTGATCCACAGTGCTGTCTTCCCTGAACTATCCTTCAGAGAGAAATCACATGGGGGCAGGGACACTAGAGTTAGCAAGGTACTCACGTGGTAATTATCTACGCAGTCCTCACCAGACCCAGCGGACATAGCCACCGACGGCTCACGCATAAGGACACTGAGTTCAGAAACATCACGAAGAGAGCTGGGTATGGACTGTGAGTGAGAAAGACCTCGGGGACGTGTAACAATGCAGTTTCCCCAGTCCCAGTCCCTACCAGAGACAGTGACTCAGTGGCCTATGCTAGGGCAGAAGGCTGTGTACTTCTATCAAGAACAAAACTCCCTATCATGTCACTGCAAAGGGAGTCTCTGGGGGCCAGCAGGTGGTGTAGTAGTCAAGGCACTGGACTCCCACATGGTGGACCACAGCTTGAGTCCTGGACCCGCAGCTTGGGTGCATGTGCATGTGCACCCAAAATCCCAAGAGGAGAGGGAGGATGAGGGATTGCGGTGTGGCCATCCTCCCACCGCCCAGGGGGGTGATTTCTCATTTTCTGTCTCTGTCTCTCCAGCAAGCACATGTACCCTATAGCAAAAATCTTTCAAAAAAAGAAAAAAAAAGAATAAAAGGGAGTCTCTTGGACACTGCCTAAGAAACTCTGCCTGGAGGGTTTTCCCAGTCACCCCACTG